CCAGTTCTTGACAAATCATGCAGCTGCTAAAACGGTAACACATTACGACATGGTTGTATCTCTTGCAGAATTGCCATTCGCTCCAACAAGACCCACCACAACGCAGATAACTGCAGACTGGATCACCATCACATGGAAGCATGGAGGAGGCCCCCAGGTGGACTCTTACACCTTATACTATCGCGCCAAGAGCTCGAGTCAGTGGATAGTCATCAAAGACATTCGTGGCCGAACATCTATGAGTTTGAAGGAACTCCAGCCTTATACTACTTATCAATTTCGCCTGTTTGCTCTGAACGACCTGGGGACCAGCAAACCTAGTCCTCTGGCTGAATTCAAAACATCCCCAAAAGGTTTGTATTTCAGGAGGTCCCGTCTCACAACTCATCATAATTAATTCCGTGGGACGTAAAGGAACCCACAGACTGATCGAAAAGAGTAGGGGACGTAGTTCCCGGTGTGGTGGTCTATCTCTCATCTGATGGTTAAATACTCGGAGGTATTAGCTGCATAAGCTACTCTGAAATCCGAGGGTAAATAAAGTAATGTATGTATGTAGCAGTATTTTACACGCGCTTGAGCAGATACGGAGAGGGAGCCGAGAGTTAATGGCGCTGATCGCTGGTTCATGTTCTTCACTTCGATGCTACAGAGTAATATATCAAAAAACAAAAGACCGTCTTTGACCACATTTCCAAACACCGAGAACAGAGTTAAAAATACAACGCGTAGCGGTGTATTTTTGATTAGCGTCGAGTAGTTTACAAACGTGGTCTTACATGTTTTGATATATCTTCTCAATCGAAACTGAAACTAAGGAGAAAACAGTTAAATACAATCGTAAATCTGATAATCTGTGATAGATCAGGTATCCAAACACCGTCCCCCAACGGGATGAATGCTTTATGAGTTTGAGAAGTGGAGTTTAAAACACGACCATCCGGAGCCGCTCCAAATCCTCCATTTGGTCAGTATCTCAACAATTGAATTCTCATCTAAGCGGTGCAGTGGCCCCAGTTAGAGCAGTAATGGGAATTTCCAGCTTCATGTTCCTTTCACGTGTAAACCAAAACTTCCTACTTGTACATGGTAGTTTCCATCACCTTTACAGCTCTGCGGTAAACCGTTGGTACCGGCATGGCAAAGGTCTTTGATTCGAAACCCGAGAATGACCATGATTTTTGGTAGTGAGGGTATAGGGGTGTCTGTAATCTGGATTGTATTTCACTGTGTACTTCATAAAGTGAAGCCTTGGAGCCGACTGGCTGCCGGAGCTTATTCCGGTTTCTGAAGCATGAAGCGGCTAGGAGTATTTCTACTCACCCTGGACGGAATGCTAGTCCATCGCAGGTCATTCCCCTGCAATTTGTTAGGTTTCCCCAACAATTCGCCGGTACGCATTTATATTCCTGGGTGGAGAGAGGCACTGTGAGAATTAAGTGTCTTGCCCAAGAACACAACACAATGTCCCAGGCCAGGGCTCGAACCCGGACCGCTCGATCCGGGGACGAGCGCTCTAACCATGAGGCCACCGCGCCTCCCTCCGTGTACTTAATGCGTATGTACTTTTCCTTCCATCCTCAGCACCCGGAACACCACCAGGGAACATCCAAGCCAAGGGACTCTCAGACACCTCATTCGAAGCAACATGGCTGCCACCAAGCCAACCAAATGGCGAGATCCTTGGATACCGGCTGTACTACGTGACTGATCCAAAGCTTAAGATCGACCAGTGGTTGTACAGGGCGTCAGCAGATAACCAGACCCAGATCACAGGACTTCTTAAAATGACAACGTACTACTTTAAGCTGATCGCTTACAACAGCGCTGGTGAAGGACCTCTCTCAGATCTGTTCGCTGTGATGACTGCACAGGGTGGTGAGTGGTCACTTACTCGAAGAAGAGGCACCCCTCCCTTATAGTTATCATTGTCGATCCTTTTTAACCCGTGATTTGCGTAAGAAAGCTGCAGGTTATAGTGGTCGATCGTGACCAAGGCACTAAAAAGGTCGGTGTAAGGTTGTTTGTAGGCGGGGAATGGTACTCTTAGAGTAAAGTGTCCTGCCTGACAAGGCAAGGTCTGAACCCATTGTAGAGAACTTGATCTAGAGTCTGACGAAACAATTAATGGGCCACAACGCCTGCCAAACCTGCGGAGTTGTCCAGAGATATGCTTTAACGCCAATCTCGTTCCCAGAGCCTTCGTTGCCCTTGTCCAGCGGCTTCGTTTTCCCGTTCCGCTAGGCAAGGGTAACGAAGGCTCTGGGAACGAGATTGC